AGGGGGTGGGGGGAATTCTGGGAATTGAAGTCCACGCATGTTGATGGGAGAACTCTGGGAGTTGAAGTCCACACATTTTAAAGTTGCTAAGGTTGAGAAACACTGCTCTAGGGGTTGTTCTCTGGACGACCTGTGGGGCAGAGGATGGGAGCCAGATGTTTGCTGCAAAGCAGTTGAAAGAGATTGTCCTGCCCTCTCCTGCTCTTTGGTTGAGGTTTCAAGGGGGATGAACAGTTCATGGCTCAGTCCGCCTAACAAGGTTAACCAAGATAGAGAAAGACCTAGCTAAGACCTTGTACAACGAGGGTAATGTTGATTAGTGTTTCTGTAATGGCTTAATATTTAGGGCCAACCCAAGCTGTTTGGTTAGCATCTGGGGCTGTGCGTTGGGCAAATGCAGAAATGGGTTACTGCATTAAGCCATTCATTCATTCATTCATTCATTCATCCATCCATCCATCCATCCATCCATCCATCCAATTTACTAACTAGTTCCCTTTCAACTTTCATCCCAAGAAATCAAAATAGCATAAGTTGGTTTTTCTTCTCCTGCATTTTATTGTCACACAAAAGATGGTTGCATTAAGTCATTCATTCATTCATTCATTCATTCATTCATTCATTCATTCATTCACTCACTCATTCATTCATTCATTCATTCATTCATTCATTCATTCACTAACCTAATTTACTAAATAGTTCCCTTTCACCTTTCATCCCAAGAGATCAAAATAGCACAAGTGGGTTTCCCTTCCTCTGCATTTTATTGTCACAACCACCTTGGGAGGTAGGTTAAGGTCAGTTATTCCAGTGGGCTGAGTGGCAGGCTGAGGTGCGGAACTACAGTTTTTCCAAAGTTAGCAGGATGCTAACCATCAATTCCACTATTTGGGGGCCTGCCATTTCCCTACCCAGTTATCTTTGGCGGGTTTCTGTTGTGACATTGCACAACATTGCAACGAGTATAGTCTTCAGGTATGTTGAGGAAGGATGTAAACATGCCCATCGTTCTCTGGAAATGCCAACTCATCCTGATTTTATCTCTGACACTCAGGAATTGCCCCAGGCTAGAAGGAACATTATTTCCTGCGGCAGGGTCTGACTTCAGTGTTGAATCACCAGTATTTTGTACATGCAACCCCACTACATTCTTTCTTCCTCTTTGCATTTCTTTGGAAAATCATAAATCACTCATCAGCCACTTTGTTTTTGGAAATGGGGCTGAAAAATAGAGGATCTACCCATTTTAAGGTGTGTCCACACTCACGCTTGTTCCGTTTTATTTCTGGTCTTTCTTTCTACTGATTGAATGTAATATCAACCTTCTCTACAAGTTTCTATTCAACGGCTTCCAAAGCACTGTACAAAAACTAAAATAAAACCAAGCGCCATAATTATATAAAAAAAAGCATTTCCCCCTATCTCGGTACTGGAGAGATGTAGTGGATGACACCAGTTTGGGAAAAACTTTGCAGGTGGCAGCTGTTAGTTGGGCCTGGTTAGAGTTTGGATGGGAGACCACTAGGATTGAGTAGTTCAGGATTCAGATTGGACTGAGAAGTCAAAACAGCATCTCAGAAGGTGGCAGTGGAAACATTTCCATCCTGTTGCCCAAAAGACTGGATGGAAGTGACTGAGAAGTGGCTTTGCTCTGAATGGGTGGTTCGTAACAGGAATCAGAAGGACGAAGAAATATTGTAATGCATTCAGGGGCTTTTAAAATAAAGAGGGAAAAAAGCTCCCAATCTTGAAAAGCGTGGGAAGGAAAAAGGCTGCAGTGTTGGACTTCAGCTGAGACCGGTGACAACATAAGAACATAAGCAGTGCCCTGCTGGATTGGACACCTGGTTCATTAGTCCAGCTGTTCGTTCTCCCAGTGGCCCACCAACTGCCTGAGGAAGCTCACGAGTCTCCCATCAGATGATCTTCAGAGGAAGAGGGGGAGGAGGAGAGGGAGGAGGAGAGAAGAAGGAGAAGGAGAAGGAGAAAGAGAAGGAGAAGGAGAAGGAGAAGGAGAAGAACCACCACCATCACAGCAACACATAAGCAGTGCCCTGCTGGACTGGACCCCTGGCCCATCTAGTCCAGCACTCTGTTCTCCTGGTGGCCCACCACACAAGGAAGCCCATGAGTCCCCCAACAGATGGCCTTCAGAGGCCATCTCACTGCCATCAAGGCTAAGAGCCACTGATCCCCAGGATCTCCATGAATTGGCCTACTCATTTTGGAAGCCAGTCAAGCTGGTAGCCAGCACCACATCTCGTGGTAGTGAATTCCTAAGTTTGATTGTGTACTGTTTATTTTAAAAATCCTTGTGTCTGCCCTGATTCTTCTCAAATCCAATTTCATTCTTCTCAAATCCAATTTCAGGGTGATCTCTGGTTCTAATATTTGGGGATGGGGCAAATAGCTTCTCCTTTTCCAGTTATCCACACCATGCATAATTAAGGGGTCTTTAATGAGTTGCAAGGAACAACAGGAAATGGCGTACAGAGAATTGTGATCACCTCCAGGATCAGATCTCCAAACAAACCACAAATGTATATTTAATGCTTTCAAGCTAAATTGTTGAGCTTGAAAGAAGGAAAGGCATCTTTTCATGTCAAGAGAGGAAAAGAAAGATAGACATAGACCAGTGTTTCTCAACCTTGGCAACTCTAAGATGTGTGGACTTCAACTCCCAGAATT